GAGAAAATAGAGGTATCTGGAAGTCAGCAGCTATAAAAATGGTTTAGGTGGATTCAGAGAATATCTGGCTGTGATTCACTTGGTGGCCCAGCCTTCACCCTGGCTGAGCTCCTGCTGCAGCACTGAGGATTTTGCCTGAGAGTTCGGTGTTACTGCTCACTCCCTGTTGCAGAGCTGTTCTTCTGTGTCATTATTTATTGCAGGGGGTGGGAACCAACCCCAAACCATCACCACCACCAAAAAACCCCAACCCTTTAACAGCTGGGATCCAGGCATCTGCAGCTCCACTGAATTAATGAGATGCCCGGGAGAGAACCCCAAAGCAGATTTCTCCCCTGCTCCCGGGACAGGCGTGCCTAAACCACCAGTAAAACAGCAAGGCAAGTCCTTTTCAGAACAGGAGGAAAGGACTGAATTAATGCCTTCTGCACCTTGGCAAACCTCCTGCCAACAAGCCGGCAGCCTCGGTCGCTGTTACAGCTTAAAGGCCAAACTAGACATCTGCGGAGCCCATCTCCAGCTGCTTGTTATTTCTCTCGCTTGTGTTGGACTCACCCCTGCCCCGATGGGAGTTCCCGTGCTGCATCTCGCCCTCTCTCCACAAAGGGCCGTTCATGGAGCAAGCGTCAAACAGCACCAGCCCCTCGTTCTCGCGCCAGCCAGCCTGTCCCGAGCAGGGGTGTGCCCCTTTGGCGCCTTCGCCGCCCTGCAAGGAGAGATGCCGGAAATGTTGGCTTTAACGGGGAGCCTGGGCCACTTCCCAGGATGGGATGCTTCACAACAGCAGCCTCAGACTTCAAGGGCCTTCCTCTCCTCCTCCTCCTCCTCCTCTGAGCTTCAGCTTGCACCAGTGCAGAGAGGAGGAGAACCGGAGGTGAAATATTTCAGATAACCCAGGGCCCCCTTCCCGGGGGGCCAGCTCCTGCTGGTACCCAGCCACGAAACCAGCACGGAGCAGGGTTGGGGTCACTGGATGTCTGCTCCCTGCCTGTTGCGGGAGCTTCCCCGAGGAGTCTCAGTGCAGGGAGACATCGCCTCGTCGTTAGCAGCGCTGGATTTCTTCCCAAACTCCTCTGTACCCTTTTTGGGGGACTTTGAAGGCATATGCCCAACCGTGAACGATTTAATCCCATATGGGTTTAGGGGCAGATCGACCAATCGTGCCTGCTTTATTTTAACTCATGCTTCACTTGCATGTACAGGATAAAGAAGTCCTGTACCAGTTTGGCAGGTGAGGAGCAATCATGCTGTCAGATGCCTTCTTGGGAGGGTCATGCTCCCCACCGGGTCAAGTTTGGGCCTTAGGACTATATTTATCAGGGGCTGTGCTCACGAGGGATTGTAATACTTGCTGCTGCACATCTGGGAGGGGCGGATTGGACACGCTCCAGGAAAACGAGCTCTGTCCACCCAAACCCAGAGCTTCAGTAGGACCGGGGAGGGAGGAGGTGAAATGAGGAATTCCCCGAGCAAGGCAGAACCTGGGCTCACGCTGCGTCTGCCTGTTCGTGCTTCAGCACCATCCCCTCTTGGGCACAGGCTGCTCCCCTTACCTCTCCTCAGCCCCGTGGCTGTGGGAGGGAAGATTTGGTGCCCGGGTGGTAAAATCCCATCCTCCCTTTGCACAGCCGGCAGGTGAGCCTGCGCTTGAACAGGCAGGAGTAGATCACAGGATTCGAGCAGAAAGAATGAATCCGCAGAGATTAAATCCTCCCTGGTCGGGTTTTCTAACGCTGCTCAGACCTATCTGCCGGTGCAGCGAGGTGTGCGCTAACAGGTACGCTAACACCAACTCGTGGGATGTATTGGCAGGGGGGCCCCGGGCTGGGGCCCTGGCTGCGGCGTGCGGGTGCTCAGCTGCAGAGAGCCGTAGTGGTGATGTCCATCTCAGAGCAGCAGTAAAAACACTTGTGGGGAGGGACGGCAGTTTCTCGTCACTCCAGTTTTACAAATCTTCCTGAGTCTGCTGGTGCTTCGTTTATTTCCTCTCCCCATTTCACGTCGGGTGACGAAAGAAAGAACGGTGGTTGAAAGCACGTCGGGATTATGAACGGCTGTTCCCCAAGGACAGATTATCTCAAGGTGCATGTGCAGGATGGTTCACACGTTATCAAATGCAATAGCCGGGGAGGAGGGAACGTGGGTTTGCAGAGAATCATTATTCCCGTGGGGGGATGAATAATTTATTTTAGATTAATTTTTCTTTGCTCTGTCTATGGATGTCTCTCTCACTAAATTGTGAATAGCTGAAGACGATGTTCAAGTTAGCATCTCATGTCTTTCCCCAAAGGCTTCCCCCATTTCATTCTCCGCATTTTATTCTGGAGATAAGAGGAAATAAAAGGAAAAATGAATTTTTAGTTTCAGCCTTTGAAGAATGCTACAGGTCTGGGTGTTTGGAGTTCCACTTTTAGAGAGCAAGTCTGCATTTTTCTACTTTCGGTGTAAGGGTTTTGTCCCCCTGGCTCTTGGGTATGTATCAGATTTGGCACGTCCGTATGCGTATGTTAGCTGTTTGGGGTTTACATCTCTGGGGAATAAAGGATGATTTTTTTTTCTGTATAAAATGCCACTTTTTACAGTTTTTGGCTGAGGTGTAATTCTGGCTGTACGTTGGATCGTGACACTAAAATGAATTAAATCGTTACTGATGTTCATCTGCTGGGTGTTTTCTGTACAACTGCCACGCAGCAAACCCCAGCGGCTGGGACGGACCTCACCCAAAAGGCGCCGGACGCGGGGCTCCGTGCTGTCTGTCTCATTGCTCTCTCCTGCAGCTTCTCTCTTTTCTGGCTTTTCCACCTTCTGCCGCTCCAGCAAGCAACTCTCCGCCGGCAGCATCTGCATTCGCCGCAGATCCCGTGCCCTTCAGGTGTTTCAGCAGAGCTGACCTCGTGCTCCTAAATAATCAGATCCTTTCTGATGACTTCAACTGCTGGAGAGATTTCTGAGATAGGTGCCCTAATTTCTCCTTTGAAATTAAGAGGTAGCGCCTTTTTTCCACACGATGCATGACGTCGGAGGAGTTTCTTTCGCTTGGAGAATTAATGACTCATTTGCTTTTCTCCTAGCGCTCTGCCGGTCCTGCCCCCTCCACCCTTGGGCAGGAGCAGCCCGCGCCAGGCAACGCGGGTGTTTATTTCTTTCACCAGATTTACAGCCGTGAGTTCGAGCATCTGAGTGACGATGTCCAAGTCTCCGTAAGCCTTTTCTTGGCCACAGCTGGGCGGGCGGCAGATGTGGACGCTGTTCGGCAGCATCAGGCCACGGCTCTGCTGTGCTTAAGAAAATGAGCTGAAGCATTTGTCTTTGGGCTGTGTCAGGAAAGGCTTTGGCAGAAGGCATTCCTCTGCGCGCCTGCTCCGCTGGGGCCGGTTACACCAGCTAGTGCTACCGTCACCCAAAATTTCTAGGTTAAAGCCTGTGCTCGTTCCCTTCTCTCAGCCAAAACAGCTCCACCGGTCCCGAGCCAGAGTCCAGGTGGGAGCACGTGGGCTCAAGTACTTTGCCAGCCTCGTCTTTGAGAGCGCAGGGACATCTGGGGGTGGCGGGGGCCTGGGGCCAGCGCTGCTTGGGGTGCCGGGGGCGTCCCTGCTGGGAGCGGGGCAGGGGGGTGCTTCGTGGGCCCTCGCCTTGCCTGGGATACAGGATCACCAGGACCAAAGTACTGCGGTTTCCCTGTGCTCAGGCCCCTGGAAAGTGGCGGCGCCTTCCAGTTCCCAGCAGGACACGGAGAGCCCACGGGGCTGCCATCGGGGTCTGGATCCCACGGGGAGGGGAAAATCGGCCTTTGCCACTTGCAGCACATGGAGCTTCCCGAAGCCCTGGGAAAGCCACGGCTCGTGGCTCAGCGGTTCACGAGGGCGGTGGCAGCAGGGCTGTAAAAGCCGATCAAAACTCAGCAACTTCAGCAATGTGCCGCCCGCGTTCGTCCCTGCAGCCGAACCGCTCGCAGGGCTTGCGTCAATCCCACTGCTTCGAAGCGTCGCTGTGAGCATGACTGCCGTGCCCGGCGGGTTCGCGGTCTGCTCCGCGGGGAGCAGCCTGGCATTTCCCATCGTTTGGAAATAATTTTCCATCGTTATCAAGTAACACGGGATCCTTCTGATTTGCTTCCCGCCTGCCCGCAGCGACGGCCCCCCACACCGCATCAATGTGCCTATTGTTCGGTTGCTGATTAAGCCGAGCGCGCCCGGCCCGGTGGAAAGTCCTTTATGGAAGGAGAATCTTGATAAGATATTCGTATCCGCTCTGTCCCGGCTGTGCACAGGCAGTTAAAAAGTAAATAACATGGACAAACAGGCTGGGATGTACAGGCAGGGGAAAAGATTTTCAATGCCACCAGGGACTGCATAGATCGGTACGGTTTGCGAGGCTTAAAAAGAGACGGGCTTTTCGAGAGGGCAGAGTACATGTGCATTAAAAGTAGGGCCCCTGTATACAGAGGTTATCAATAATATTTTAGTTATTGATTAGTTAAAATTCTGGTTAAACACTTCCTTTGCATCCTAGCAGGCGAATTTACAGCTCTGGATGTTGGCGCTGCGGGAGATCCTCGGGTCTGAGCCTGGTGCGAGGCAGGGCGGGCTGCGGAGCCCCCTCGGCTGCTCAGACACCTCCATTTCACCTGCCAAGCCCAGAAACGAGAGCCTGGAAGGGCACAAAAAAATTGTCATTTGTGTCAAGCCAGGCCAGAGTGGTTTTTTGCTAGTAAATAAAGAGCAGCAAGATTTCCAGAAGCCCGTGCGGCTCTGCTCATCCCAGGCCCAGCCGGCTGTAGCCTCGCGCAGCTCCCCAGGCACCGAGATCCCTCGGACTCGGACCCCCAATCCCCACGGGAGTGGCTGTGGGGGCACCCACAGCCCTCAGAGGCGGCTGCTGGGAGATGCCACAGGTTTCCCCCGCCCGGCCCCCGCCAAATTGCACTAACTCGGTTATTGGCAGTGTGGGTTTTAGCCCAGGAGCTGCATGGCAGCTCTGAAATAATGATCGCGTTCATCTGGAAACTGCTCCAGCGCCTTCTGAGGCGTCTAATTTCATAAAGGGCTTTTATGGGAGATTTTGGAGCGAGGAGCGATCAATTTTCCCATTGCTCACGGAGTCCAGAATCTCTCTTTTTTGGGATGCATTTAAATCAAAAGGAAGAAAACACCTGTCCAGCACATTTGCTTAACCCCAAAGATTTCAATCAAAATTTTTAATGTTCTTTTTCTCTCCATCTGCATTTTTCAGCAAAGACAAACAGCCTCATAGTATTTCTTCAAAGGAATGTAAATTCCTTGAGGAAGTCTCCGGAGTTCCCAGCACTGCATAGCTGCAAACCACAGACGCCTACGGCTGAAAGCTCTGCTCTGCTTTTAATTTTGGGGCAGGGAAGGAATTCTTTTCAGGGGTTTGGGTTCACTTGTGCTGGGCCCGTCAGGCCAGACTCCTTGTTACTGCACAGGGGAGTGTTGACTTTGGCTGGCTGCAGACAGTTGCTTTCCCTGCACAAGAGTATTCCCCCACCAAATCTGATGACACGGCGCAATTACTTCATTAGGATTTTCCAAAAAACGTCCCCTCGGTCTCATCTAGTGCTAGAAAGACCTTTTCCCTCTGTTTTCTTGTTTCGGCGTTGGGAGCTTTGCCTGAAAAATGCAATTAAGGGTGGCAGTGCTGCTGCCTGGGTCTAAATCCTTGGGGGGGGGGGGGGCTGAGAAAGAGCAGCCTGGGGGGAAAACTGTGCGTTTTGAAGGGTGTCGTTAAACTCCCAGGGGTGAGTGAAGCCTGTCCGTAAGAGCTGCTGCTTTGCAGCCTGAACAAGGCCCCTGTTTCCGCTGCGAGCTGCCCTCCCAGAAAGCTGGGGCAGCTGCTGCTGAGGTGGAGCAATGGGAGAGGGTGGCTGAACCACCAAGGGACCGGTGCCCCCCCGTTTCCTCCCCCGTCCCCGCTCTCATCCCAGTCCTGCCCCAGTGGCTGAGCGAGCACCGCGCTGCCCCGTCCCTGTGCCGGCATTCACCACCGTGGCCTGTCCCAGGCCGAAACTGCCCCTCGCCCGCTGGGAGCGCCCGGGCAGACAGCGGGGTTAGGCCTGGTCTCAGCAAAAACGCTTTACTTAATAAATCTGGTTGCGGTGCATGGACACTATCAATAACTCCCGGTTGCTTTTCTGTACCCTCCATCCCTGGCAGCTGTGATGCTCGGTCCAGGGGGGCCTGGGGGGCTTAACCCGGCTGCCAAAACACCCAGCGGACCCTTGCTATTGGTGAAATCAGTGTGTTGCAGGTGGGGGCAGACCGGAAGGATCTGGCAGTCGGGGCTCGCTCTCTCAGTGCTCCCCAAAATCCGTGCTGGCATGGGAACGGGCAGCGCATTTGGACGGTGCACAGTCCCCGGGTTGGACTAGGGCCGCCTTTGGGGCAGCCCATCGGGAGCTGGTTTGGCCGCTGCCGTGCGGCTGGGG